ACGGCGTCTTTCATAATTATATAGTGGTTTTGGGACGTGAAACCTCATATATCAAATATTTTACTGTTGTGCAGAGATACTACACCATGAAAATATCGGGACAAAGTTCACCAGTACTGTGCCAGAGGTGAATGGTAAACTATAGCATGACCATGCTACGCTGTACAATGCCGGCAGAATACTTTTCGTTTGAAAGCACAGCCTTAGGATGGTAGCTGGTACTTAAAAAATCTTTCATAAGTATTTTTTTCTATTTTGTTTTTTCTGTAATCTTTAGGTTATGCCTTTTGTTCCTGTTCTCTCTTAGCTGATTTTATAATTGTGCCACTTTGCATGGAGAAAAGGCGGTGAACCATTCCGTTTACAATAAGTTTGAATGTGCGTGTGAAAATCCTCTTTCCCAGAAACTACTGCCGTTTTTTGCGCATAAATACCCTAACGGAAATTTTTATACCACCCTCTCAAAAGGTTATAACAGAGCACCACGTATGTCCCTAGTTTTCGTGTGTTCCACACCCATCCTGTCATAATATTTCTGGTATACAGCAACGACGTTGTTTAACATGGCTAGCTTGTAGAACAACGCATATATTTTATTCAAAGAAGTTTAAGGCACACTTGCCTTGTGCTGATTAACAAGCGTCTTCATGAGTTTACACGATTATTTATTGCAGGCACTATGACACAAATGTAATCACAATGCGACTCGGAAACCATTGCAGTTACTGCCAATACACAGCTATAGAGAACTAATTTTATTTCAGATTTATGTGAAAGGACTGCCCTTGCTCACAAGCTGGTGTTACGCTTGGTTGCTTGTAATGGCATCTACTGGAAGTTTATGATATTGATTAAAATATTTATCAGCCATTGTGGCCCTCCAGAGACACCCAGGTAACACACGTATATACGAACGAAAATATTAGTGAAGTCGGTGAACTCGTCCTTTTCGCACGAAGGTGTTCAAGAGATTGTTTCTCAGGAATTCCAGTGTCGGTGTCAGCGTCGTTGGTTGTGAGCGAAAATCATCATCTTGTCCGTGACCGAAACAGCGAGAGAGATGCAAATAAATTAAATAACGAAAAATTTTGGGGAGAGCGAGAATCAAACCCAGGCCTTCTGCATGACAAGAAGACTTTTCTAACACAAAATCACACTATTCCGTGTAAATGGTTCTGAAAAAAAAAACTGTGTATGAACGCCATGTTGTGGAAGAAGTCTCCTTTACGCTTACATTATCCCGTGGCAAAAGCGTAGAAGCGCGCCTCGAGTCAAAACACTGGAATTGCGCAACAAGACGGTGCTTTGAAGGCCCGCCCACAACAAAGCTCTCAGTAATATTTAATCGTTATCAGCTGCAAAATCTTCAACAAAGTGAACAGCTGCGTAGGTTCGCATGTTGCCTGACGAAAACTTATATATGGGCCCTTCGCTGATTCGCAAAAAAAGAGCTATGGCATACTGGGCTCTATACAACTGTTCCTGCAGTAGACATTCTAGGGTAGTCTGAATAACCAATGTTACGCCCACAGTAATTTGTTGCCTTACGGCATGGTTGATTTGATGATTGATATGTGGAGTTCTACGTCCCAAAACCACCATATGGTTATGAGAGACGCCGTAGTCAAGGGCTCCGAAAATTTCAACCACCTGGGGTTCTTTAATGTGCACCCAAATCTGAGCATACACGGGCCTACAACATTTCCGCCTCCATAGGAAATGCAGCCGCCGCAGGTGGGATTCGAGCCTGTGACCTGCGAGTCAGCAGCCGAGTATCTTAGTCTCTAGACCCACACGGCGGGGTTTAAGGCATGGTTGAGACGTGCATAAAGAACAAAAGATGGGCTAGCAGTTGAGAAGGCGATACGCCCAAGGCCTGATTACCTGATCCCGTTAGACGCTTGAAGGTGAAGCTCGAGCGTCTGCTTTTTTTATTTTACGCGGTAGCTTCTAGCGACAAGGCTATAGTTAGGAGGCTGACCCCTCGTGATCCCACAAAAAAGGCGTGAAGCGAAAATCGGCAAAGAGATAGAGAAATGTGGAATGCGGAAAGGTTTACCGGGAAATAAATACCCTGATTTCGTATACTCTGAAATGGGAAAGGAGTAAGGGGAGACGGGGAAGTGAGAAAGATAAAAATTATAAAGGGAGGGAGCTGCGTAAAAACCGACCGAAAAGTGTCAAAATCGTTCAACGAGGTGGGTCGATGACAGAAACTTCGACTGCGTCTTCGTCGCTTTCTGCGCCAAGTAGGGTCATTCCGGCATTCCAAAACTGCTCAGAAAGCGGCGCCTTCTTCAAGGCGCGCATACTTTGTTGTGGCTCTGTGAGCTGAACTGAGGGCAGTGACGGGGTGGTCGATGGCTTCATGACTCCCTCCACTATCATGGCGCCAGCTGCAGCAGCGTACGCAAGCCAGCACATATAATTAACAACTTCTTCACTGATACGGGCATAGAATCCTCATAAAAAGGACTTCAATATGCTCATTATGGAGAAATTATATTAATCATGCATGGTTGACATAGAAATAGGGTAACGAAAATTTTGCGACTATTCCTTTAGCGGCGAAGAATATATATGCTGCTACTAGGTTTTCAAAAAGGATGCATTACGAGGTATGCTTAGTAATTTCTCAGAATGCCAAGTCGAAAGCCTCGTTAAACATTTTGTTGATCTGCAGAGATTCCTCTTGAACTTTCTTCTCATCGGCTGTTACAGCTGCAGCCTCTTTTTCTTGATAAATTGCGCCTTGCCAAATCACCTGCGTCTTATTAGGGCCGCATGTTGCGCTTGCCGGGCCGCTGCGGCAGCTTCATCTATTACCGCTTCCTTTCAAAGGTGATTGCGACAAGCAGCAATTCAAGCTGCTATAGACTCTTCGGTCATGGCGTACTTCCTTGGTCTTCCCTGCTCATGACTATAGGGACTGGTAAGGTGATGTGTGTGCCTTTTTATGGCTTTGTTTCACTCACACGAATAGCGGCCAGATGAAGTGGACACACAGCTCGCACGCTTCCACGAAATTTTCTCAACCTCAGCTTGAAACACAGGAATCTGGGCAATACAACTTATGTAATTTTGGTATAGCGCACTATAAAAATTACTTCAATGCCCTTGCAAGCAATGTTTAAGGATAATCTGTTGTCAGTGTCATTGGTTTATGGCCAAGTTAATGAGCGCTTGGTCACACGAAAGATAAAAGGGAAGGACATCCTGTTGGTTCCACAGGCTTGAAACACAGGGATCTGGGAAATACAACTTATGTGATTTTTGGTATAAAGCACTACAAAAATTACTTCAATTCATTTCATTCATTTCATTTTATTATACTGTCAGCCCCATTAGGGCCATAACAGGGGTGGAAAAAACCAATATACATACAAAAAATAGGTACTCCCTATACAACTTCTATTATACATAACAATGAATGACAAGAAATAGCCGAAGCACTCTGCTCTTGAGGACATAGAATAAGCAAAATATAAACTATACATCTTTATACACGACATCCTTAGGGCCCTTCAAGAAAGAAGGTACACATTCCGATAAGACAGTGGAGTTCGGCAGCCTGTTCCACTCACTGATCGCTCGCGGAAAGAAACTGAACTTAAAAGAATCGTTGTGTGATCTGGGAGGGGGGATGTACATGTTATGCCGGTGCCTTGACGTTTCCCCAGTTTTTATATACATATACTTCGATTTGTCTATTTTTCCTTGTTCTTTAATGATTAAAAAGAGTAATTTAAGTCTTTCATACTGTGTCCTTTGTTCTAGTGGTTTCATACTCTGTCCTTTGTTCTAAGCTTCAATGCCTTTGGCAGCAATGTTTAAGGACAATCTGCTGTCAGTTTCATTGGTTTATGGCCACTTTTATAAGCGTTTAGTCCCACGAAGGTTAACAGGGAAAACATCTTGTTGGTTTCAAAGTGAATTAACTAATCAACCATTCATGCAATTAGTTTAATAGGAGTGCTTATGTAGCAATACAAGTATAGAACTTCTCATGGGGAAATTTTCAGGCTCATTACTCAGCAGTCCCGAGCTTCTTGAAGGCAGTGAACTTGGGGCGGTGCTTGTAGACAAATAGTGCTTGAATTTGTGTGACGTGCGACCTTGAGTGCACGGGCTCTTCATTCTCCATCGCTTCATCCTTCAAAATCTCTCATCACTGTCCCCAGTGTAGGGTAGCATACCAGTCGTTCTAGACTGGTTAACATCCCTGCCTTTCTGTTTCCTCTTGTTCCTGTTCCTTCGGATGACATGCACTATATATGATGCAACATGCAGTGTGTGGCCCTTGTTGTGTGCAATGTCACCGTGAGTTCACGGGCTGCTCATTCAACCATAAACAGCGCTGGTAGATAGCGATGCTAGTCTGTCTTGACCAGGAATACGTAACCTGAATCAATTTTTTTTTACAATTTATTGGAGATTACACCAGCGGGGCATGTGAAGTGTCTACAGGTGCTATACAAGTGAAGTCAGCGTACAGTAATGTTACGTATAAGCTTCATATCTAGTGCTTTATACGACTTTTCGCCTTTCTCAATTCATGTTTCTCCACAATATGTGTGATTCAATATAAGTACACTTCGCAACAATTACGAATATACACCGAGGTTCTGACGTGTTACAAATCTTCGAATTACTGTAAATTAATAAAGATTAAGCACGAGAAGTAAGGAATAAATAATGTCTCATATCCCAAGTATACAGGAATAGAACAAAGCGTGGCACAGATCACACAACCCTTCGTTCCCAGCTCTCCAGTGTTTCTCCTTGTAATGTTTGCAGGAAATTATGCACATTGAGATTTCTGTTTCGGGACGCTGAGCGACTCTAGTCTGTTTCTCCCATGTATCGTAATAAGCATCGAGGCAATCGCCTTGTGAGTGATATCTGAAATCAGTCGCGCGTATGCCGTTTTATTGTGGTGTAAATGCGCACGATAATATCACGTGGTTCACGCAGAAGTGGCAGAACGCAATGCGACGACCATGATCGTGAGCAGGCCAAGGAGCCCCCCACAGCGCGAGCTCGCCTCTTCACCGTCGCTGGAGCCGGCGGACCTGAAGCAAGGCCTGTGCCAGCGTCGCGCCCTGGACCATGGTTTCGACGCACTCCTAGCCTGCGCCGCCTGCCGGGGACCCATCAGGGAACGCTTCTACTTACAGGCGCGTGCTTTTATACCACGTGCTCATCACATTCCACGCAACGTGTTTTATGAGTGATTTGCCTTCAAAGAAGCTCTGGCCCACGGAAGGCTTCAATCGCGTGCAATCCCCTCTACGGCCTGGGAAGCCTATAATTCACAAAGCGCTATATGACCATGCACATCAAACAAATTTCTACTGACGTGCTGCAGCAGCTTAGTGGATGTTCTGTTGCATGACTTAGTTCGATGACGTGGGTTCCATTTCCGACATAGGCGGTCATGTTTTAATAGATACAGAAGCGCTTACGCACTAATGAATGTGTTCAAGTGGCGGACCTCGTCTCGTAGAGCCTAATTCAAACCACCACGTCATATATTACCGGCCTGCATTGCCATGGCATGGTTCCAGTACATAAACTGCCAAATCCCCTCTTTCTTCTATCAATTATATGGACACTTTCGGTTGGATTTTGCCGCCGGCGTCGGTGGACGCCGTCATTCACCGTATATGTATACGTATCTATATATATATGAAAACGCAAGCAAGAAAAAAATAATCCAGAAAAAGACTCCGGTGCGCAGAATCGAGCGTTCGACCTGTTGCTTATGAGTGCGTGGAGTAAGGCATGCACCAAGCCCCGCCGCGGTGGTCTAGTGGCTAAGGTACTCGGCTGCTGACCCGCAGGTCGCGGGTTCGAATCCCGGCTGCGGCGGCTGCATTTCCGATGGAGGCGGACATGTTATAGGCCCGTGTGCTCAGATTTGGGTGCACGTTAAAGAACCCCAGGTGGTCGAAATTTCTGGAGCCGTCCACCACGGCGTCTCTCATAATCATATGGTGGTTTTGGGACGTCAAACCCCACATATCAATCAATCAATCAAAGCCATGCACAAAGCCACGAAGGCAGACCCCCTTCAACGTTGAAACGGCAAGCTATTTATATTTATCACTTACCGCTGGCGATTCCTATCTGGGGGAACTATCATGTTTCACCATTACCAGCGAGATGACGCGATGAGTGCGCGTTGCCAGATCATCACGACGTGGCGACGCGCGCTCATGCATGCGTTCATATCCCCCACGTGTACTTTGCCTACAAGTGCGGGGGGGGGGGGGGATTCTCACGCGTGCGCACGCTTATCTTACGGAGGAGAGAATCGAACGGGGGTGTTTTACCGGAACGATTCTGTTGTAGTCACAGGGCGCACAAAGGTCGCTGCACTCGCTGCACAGTCTCCATTTGCGAAAAGAGCGCGCGTTTCAGACACAGCGAAGTAACAACTGAGACGCTTGTTCGCATTCATGTGTACCTGTGAGTACGTTTTGTGCGTCATTAGTGCGGGAGGAACGCGGGACACGTTTAAATGTTCTTTCCATTCTTCCAGTGACATTTAAACTTTTTGCTATAACTCATTACTCCGCCTTTGCGGCGAAACCGCCACTTCTTTTTTTGTTTTCACACTCAAAAAATAATAAAATGCTTACGACCCCTTTTCGAGAGAGTAATTCCTTATTGTACAAACAATAGGAGAATGGTGACGACTCTTTTTCGAAACTCCTTGTAAGAACCTAACTAAAAAGTTCTCTCTTAAATTGCCGATAGTGGAACACTTAATTTGCCAATTCTATTCGTGAAAAATGATTTACCGCGTTCACACCCCTTCCGATAGTTTATGACAGTTTTGTAAAATAGAATTAAGCATGAGACTATAGCGTTTGCTTCTTCCCAAAGAAGTCTTATTCAATATGTTTCATTAGGTGTAAGTACACGCGTTATTATGCGTGAAAGGTCGTCTTTTGAGTGAGTCATGGGTAAACAATGTACGCAGCACAGTTGCCTAGGCACGAAGGAAGGCAATACATTGACATCGCTACCCTCTCCCCTGAAATAAATAAATAAATATATATATATATATATATATATATCTCAACGTGAGTTCACGGGCTGCTCCTTCAACCGTAAAAAGCGCTGGTAGATAGCGATAGCTGGTAGTTTGTCTTTCATGGTAGCCGAAAACGTCACACAATACTGATATGCAGCATTTATGGCAAAAAATAAAAGTCATGTTCAGCTATCCTTATTGTGACGATGAGTTAGGTTCGAAGGCTCCAAGCATTAAGCACTTCAATTTTGAGCTCTCCGGTACCATAAATATCGCTTTCTGTGGCAAGATGTATCAGTTCTGCAGGACACAGTAATGATGGGATCTTAAAAAGAAAAGCGCATACTATTAATAACCACTGGTTCCTTATGCATGAAGCAAACTGAAAGGATGTTTGTGGAAGCAAATAATGTGCTCTAGTACTACCGTACATTATTTGTCAATGACTAGCAGCACGTGCAAATTTTATCAACGTGGGCGCGCCAAATATCCGATATCAGCGGCTTGATTTTTTCTAACAATTGTACAGAAATGAGGCGCTGTGAGTTGAGATTATGCGTTGCTTTTCCTTTGCGAAAGGAAAAAGAAAACGATCAACTGAGCACTGGTGAAAGGGATGCGCCACTTGAGTTGTACTTGATTATTTATTTATTTATCTATTTATTTACCTTTTTGTGTATTTATTTATTTATGTATACATTTATTGTAGGCTTAGTACTCTCAGTTTTTGACTTCCCGGTATACAATCACGTTTAACATATAACTAGCTTCAGTGACGTCAGCATCGGTATATGGCTGACCGCGTTCTTGGTGCTGTGCTAGGAATGCTGTCATCCGTAGGTACCCACGAATGTGTTTAAGTGCTTGCAGCCTCAAAAATTCCTACTATACTTTTTAGATTAACATTTTACAGACTCGATTTGCACCATTGGCAAGTTCTTTAAGCAGGAGACGTGATATCGCATGCAATCATTGCAGAGTATTGTTCTATACGTGCATGCATGTACTTCCACAGACAGATCGCAAAGCTGTCTTCCACCGAAAAAGATGTTTGGACAAGTCATTCTGTACTGATAATATAAACTGTTTGTTGAGCCAAAGCACACAGTATCAATAAAATTGGACCTTTAGGTGCGATGCATCTTTTAGTGAACTTCGGCGACTTAGAGCATATCTATCTATCTATCTATCTATCTATCTATCTATCTATCTATCTATCTATCTATCTATCTATCTATCTATCTATCTATCTATCTATCTATCTATCTATCTATCTATCTATCTATCTATCTATCTATCTATCTATCTATCTATCTATCTATCTATCTATCTATCTATCTGCTTACGCTCGGGTGCTCTCGTGGTCACCCCCTTAACATGGTGTAAACCAAATGAAAGGGTAAGATGGCTTGACGAATATGACGCGATGATCAAGACATGAATAATGTCACAATCCCATCGCGTACGTCGTCAGACACTTCCAGGCAGACAGTGGCACATACCCACGGGCGGGTATGTGCCGCTGGTATGCGGGTATGTGCCACAGGTGACTGACACTTAGTATCCACCCAGGAACGACGAGAACATGCATGTACAGTTATAACGCGTGAGCGTTAAGCAATACCCGATGATGGTAGCGTCGACCCGACGAACGCAAAGAATAAATGTCAGGGTCCCAGATATAATCAAACCCAAGCATTCTGTGTGTCATGAAGCGCTTTACCACAAAGCTACACCAGGTCTCGAAACTTCTTTTCAAATAGATGCTAATCTTCGTGATACGTCAATAGTGGTTGCAGTGCTGCATACCCAAGCTTATATACATAACATATATACTCCGGTTATACAGCCGTCAGGTCGGGTTAACGTTGATTGTGGTTAGTGGAGTTGCGCTGAAATTGATTAATGTAGGAGTGTCCAGGGCGAGCATCCTCACGAGCATCAGCGCTCCATATCAGCTTCTGGTGTTGCTAACACGCATGTTCCAGTTGACGTCGTTGCGCAAGTGCAAACAACTGGTTATATAAGCATCTGCAACACTTCAACACATGTCTGTGCATGGGACATTTGTACATATATTTAGCGTCATTTTATGACGTGTCGCTCTATAAAAAAATTGTAACACTGTCACCTTCCCTCCGCATGCTTCGCATAACGTCTACTCCCAGGTACGTGGCAGCTTCCGAATTTTTTTTTATAAAGCCACTACTTTTTGAAAATGCATTGATCGAGAGCTAGTTTTTCAAGATGTATACTTTTCGGAAATTGTAGCCTTAGCATAAACCTTCCTTTATGACCTTCCTACCATTTTATTACTATAATATCATTCTTGTAAATGAAGTGAATACATAAATGAATTGGTAAATAAATAAATGAATGAATAAATGACTAAACAGATAAATAAATGAATAAATATTGATACGGGGTCACCTCCCGCATCTGCCTTTGACTTGCAGCATGCAACCTCGGTGATAAGAATAAGGCGTACGTACATACGCGCACCTGATGTCTACTTCTAGAATACTGCGAACAATGCGGAGTATTATGATTGTCGGTGATAATGAAGTGCATAGCACCTCGAGCAATTTTATTCACAACGTCCAATGAATTCTTAACGTAGATGTGCTGTCTTGTTAACATAGAAGTTTTGAATAGCTCCGTACAAAGCTTGTAAGTGTTGGCTTTTTTACATTATCGATTTTTACGTGGTGAAGCTAGCTTCTGAAATTTGTTTCGCCTCAAGACTCAAAGCCAGCACTTAGCATGTATTTCAGGGCATGCAAAAGCGGTATTACCACAAAAAACGGTGAGTGACCCTATAAATCAATGAACAGTTAGAAAATAATGAATCTAGGCGTATTAAAGGTAATTTAACTACGCAGGCGTTCTCAGCGTACAAAGAACAGTCAGCGCACGTCAGACATGCTTGGAAGGGCATAAAATTGAGCAATGTGGTAGTGATTTGTGATATGAAAAGGGTGGTAGCACTATGCGGGTAGAGTATGAGTGATTGAATGAAAGAAACATATGCCGCGACACACAAGCAGGGCTACCCATTCAATTTGTAGAACGCCTGTGACGGAATATAAAGCAGTAAAAATCAGTACACAGGATTGTAAAATAGAAGTTTTTTCGAGCAGCGCTTGCTTTTTATACGATGTTTGAGCCCTAATGGAATTTCATCAAATTTTTAATGAGTTGCCATGGGAAGAAGTCTACTTTATATTTAGTCATAAGCATACATAAGAATATTAAATTGAATCTCGCGGTTGGGTCAAAGAGGTTGGAAGTGACCTGTTGGTGTGTCCGCGCAAAGTTATATGTCACAAAATAGAATTATTACTCTGCGCGAAACAATATCTTTCAAGAGTATGCATGTACGTGGAAGATTGATGGGAAATCGCTGCCTTTACAACATGCGCGCAATATTCATATGTGTGCTTTTTTTTTTATGTCTGTGCCCATCTCATGTGGTCAGCCTTGTACTGTGTCTTGATATACGGTAATGTCCGAATGTAAAGCTCTGCATTTTCATGCACGACAAGAGTTGAAATAGACGCGAAAACGAGGAGAAAAGTAGGGGTGCATCAAACCCAACATAGAGCGTCTTCGAAGGCTACTCCTTTACATAAATTCGCAATGCAGACAGATGCATGCTCGGACGTGTGTCTCAACTTTGCTACGGTACAGGTGTGCCTTTTTTCTTGCATATTAGGAGATGCTGTACTGTATGTTGTAAAATTGCTGCCATCGTCTCATGCGCACAATGCTCGTTTTTATCGGGACTCTGACAGAAAAAAAAACATGGCTGGTTATGTACCAATGTGCTGAAGTTACAAGTGAAAATGAATTAAGTGCCATAAAATTCCTCGCTGTACAGAACGTGGAAAACGGGAATACGATGGTGTGTCGCTTTTTAACAAACATACTACAAAAGTGTTACAACGCGAAAACATACTGTACAAGTGTCAAAACTATGATATGATGATTAGAGACGTCATAGTGTGGGACTCCGAATTGATGTCGATCACCTGGGTTTTCTTAGCGCGCACCTAAATCTACGCAGACGGGTGTCTTTTGCATTTCGCCCGCGTCGAAATGTGGTCGCTATGGCCGGCGATTAAACCAGCATCCTCGAGCTCAGAAATGCGTTACGTTACGTGCTAAGCTACCATGGCGCATTGCATGTTAGTTTTGAACAATTACACGCTGGCACTGTCATACATCGAGCTGACAAAAATTAAACGCTTACTACTCGCAACTTGCCAGTGTTCTTAAGGAGAAAATATTTCTTTATTAGCGAAGTGCTTACAGCCCCAAATTATCGTTTATAACGATAGCGTTAATGGCGGATGTTTTTTTTTACTCTGTTTCTGGCAGGCTTTGGACCAGCCTTGGCATACGGGATGCCTCCGTTGCAGCCTTTGCGGCACAGGCCTGGATTCACAGGCGTCTTGTTTTGCGCGAGAAGGTCGTATATACTGCAGGGACGACTACCTCAGGTAGCCTTCCTCACCGTTTCTCCAAATATGCTGATCACTGAGTGCAATGGTGTCGATAAAGATGTGACAGCGTCACGTTGTCATTTGAAAGGTGCGTTATCAGGGGCCTTAGTTTAAAGGGACACCAAAGAGCAAAATGATTTTTCGTGTATTAGTAAAGTACAATTGGCAATCCCGAAAATACCATCCTTACCACATCAAATTCATAAAGTAGTGCAAAAAGCAACAAGACGGACACAAAGAACGACGCACCACAAGCAGTACTATTACAGCAATAACGGTAACCGATTCTCTAAATCAATAAAGATTTGCTAAATAATGAATCAAGGCTAAGTAAAGGTAATCAACGCACGCAGGCCTTCTCAGCTTATTGTCAATTGTCCATTCAGCTCATACTTGGAATGGCGTAAAATTGAGCAATATGGTAGTGATTTACGGCGTGAAAAGATTGGCATCACCATTCCGCTAAAGGATGAGTGGTTTAATTGAAAATACGCCGTGACACATGAACAGGGCTACCAATGAAATTTGTAGGATGCCTGTGACGGAGAACGAAGCAGTGTGAACCGATATAAAGGAGTGTATTAGAGAAGTAATTGTTTTTTTGCGCTACGTTATCACTTTGATCTGGTACCAACTAGCCCAGGAAGAAGTCTTTCTGCAGAACACCCTTACTGCGACACGACGTTTGGAAATTTACAAAACATGTGAAAAGAAAATATGGGCGAAGACGCCATGCACCTCGAGATTCTCGCACCAAACACCGTGACGTCATAGATTTTGAGGGCGTCTACTGGATCGAGCATATATTCTAATCAATAAAAATAAAGTACATTGTAATCTATGGGTGCCATAGATCTAGCATACAAAGTTTCAGAAAATATCACCGAGGCAATGGTGTGAAAATACGGAAGATACATTTTGAAATGTTTGACGTCATACATAAAAATTTTGGCGCGAAATTTTATAATGACACTTCAGTCTTGAATTTAGCTGATATCAATAAATTTATGACAGTAAAACATAAGGTATTAGAGTTCTCATAGTGCACTTTGTCTATCTGAATAAAGTGATCGTTTTTCTTCACTGTCCCTTCAGCGCTGCATGCCTCAACCGTATGATGTGTTTCCTAACTTCAATATTGATGTGTCGCCATCACAATAAAGATTACTGGTCACAGGCACAGATAAGAGACAAACTCGGGTTCTTATCTTTGAGGCAGGCCACGGCGCCGTTTTCTAACAACCTTTAGAAGCGAATCAGCTCGTTGACTGGCATGTGTAACGCTGTTCTTCCGTGCATCCGTACAAACACGCCGCAACGCACTCCCTTCGCCGCATCACCTGCGGTGAGGGGAGCGCGTTGCGGTGCCAAGTAGGTCACGCAGCAGCTGTGCGTTGTGGTCACACTCCTCTCGCAGTGAGCGCTCACGTTCCTCTCTCCCTCGCCTGCCACGCGCTCGCCCCAGCGCCCGCAGCTGCCGCCTCGTCCGTTCTCTTGCAACTCGTGCCGCTACCGCCGCTCGCTACACCACTGACTCGTCGGTTCACGTGCAATAAACCTGACGTACGCCTAGCGTACCCGTTAAAACATGTCTGTACGTGTCATTTCTCTCTCGCTTCAGCCTCTCCACTACTCGCAACACCCGAGCGCAGAGTTTGCGTGCTAGAGCATGAAAACTACTTACCATGATGAGGAGAACGTTTCTTGATCTGGTCTTTCCTAACTTCGACGTCGAATGTCCACTGGAACCTCTCAGCGTGCACTTCACCGATCACAAGGCTGTGGTAGTCAATACGAAACGCGCACCAGCTACGGTTCAGCGCCCGTGTCCATTCTGCTCTGAAGAAACGATAAGACCTACGCCAGCTATCACTTCAAACGAATCTTCCAGCGCTCACAGCGGCACCCGTGTTAGCGCCATTCAACCCGTGACGCCGCCCGTGCGCAACGCTGCTGCTTCGCATCCCATAAGGGTTCCCTTTAGGAAGATGGTGTGAATTTATTTAATACTTTTTGTGCTGACAATAATAATGAAAAGTATGTGACAGTTCCACTGCGCGAATACTATTGAACCTGAAAAACTGTGCACACTGGATAGCAGGCGTAGCGTACAGTACATGAAAATTTGGGCGATGACAAGTGACCAAGAACCATATCAGAAAGTGAACCGTGCTAGTCGCGTGTCTTATGTGTTTATGCGATAAATTCTCATTGGTCAGAGTCGAATATCAGTAAAATATTAGAGAACGTGCATTGTCTTGAAGAAGTGAAGATCACTCTCATTTGTGCGCTGTTTGTGAAACTTGCAAACGCGAATTGCGGCCTCACAAGGACACCCGTGGAACGTTGGGACGGTACAGCTTACCACACCAGGAAGGTCACGGGGTGTGCAAGCGACGCATAGGTTCATCCTCCTGATAGTGAAACTCAGCTTTTGACATGACGTTATGTTAATTACACCGTGCACATGCGTGTTGCTTGTTCAACTGCCATAGTGCTTCGTTTTCTTTAACAGAAGTCAGTTGTAGGTAATGCTCACCATGTACTATGTCTTCTCCTTCATTTATTAACTTCATGAGCATGCGTGATCCAACCTATATTACCTGGCATAAAAACAACTTTCCAGATTAAGCAGTCTCTTGGATATAGAGGCACACACGCAGCAAAGGAACGGGTATACTTCACATCGCACTTTTGTGCCTACCTTAATTTCCGCTACAGTGTGATTTTACAGTTTACAGTCGCAGTTCCTCTACTTTTGTTATTTTGTCCTGCTTTTTTTGCTTTGTATTCACGTGTTTTTACCTTGTATCCGCATGTGTGGATTTAGCGAACAGTGGACAGCCGCTAAATCCACGCATTTCCTAAACGAAATCGTAAGAGCCTATGTCAGTAGAACTGTCTGTTTATGATAACAGCAGCCAGCGAGTCAAACAGAGACTGCCTTCCCAGTTAAATCACCATGTTCGTAATCGCAGGGCATTTGTACGGTGCTGCGCGTGTGGCGCGGCGCTATCCCCTCGTGACCTTGTGATGCGAGTCCGTGGAGGGCTGGCCTTCCACGTCAGCTGCTTCCGCTGTGCCAGCTGTTTATGCCCGCTGCTCAAAGGGGACGTCTACGGCATGCGGGACAACAGCGTCTTCTGCAAGCTACACTTCCAGGACACCGCGCTGCTGGCAGGTATACCTCTAAATAGGGTGTGCTCGGTATTACCACCCTATAACTTACTATAGTGCGGACAAAAGCTCTGAAGGCGTATAAGCTCGTACTCTCTAAAGACGAGCTCAGCTTGTGGTGCTATCTCTTGCTGAGACACTGCGAAAATCGATTCGGAATCTACAGAATCATGGACCTTCCAGACCGCTTATTTTCGCAGTTTTTTTTAAGTTGCAAATTAATATTCAATTATTATAAACAATATAATTTTATTGCGAAAGCTAAGATTTAGACATTTCAGAAGGAGTTTTTTGCCTTCTTCAAGTTTCGTATAAAGACGAAATTGATTACAACACCTTGCGCAATTCACCAGCGAGCTAAAGCACGTGAGTAGCCACGAACACGTATGAAACAGAAATGGAACGATCCCGCCATGTCTGTGGTAGGGGAGACGACGCATTTGATAACATCCCTGCGCACGAGACCTGCCATCGTTTGCTACTCAAAAAAAGAGGATGTACCCCACCCATCTTTCCTAGGGCGAACTAGCATGGACGCCGGGAGGATGGGGGGCTGCGTACTCGAACAGCAACTGCGAACTTTGATTAAGAGTGCGCAGTGTGTGTGTGTGTGTTTGTGTGTCCAGATATTTGCCCTTCATCCTTTCTCTCTTAAGAACGCTGCCTAACTGCAGTGTGTATGTGTGTCCGGATAAATGCCCTTCGTCTTTTCTTTCTCAAGAACGCTGCCTAACTGCGACCCTGCTGGGTGGTCTTTTGTCAGAACCATTGGGTTGGTATATATAAATCGACGTGCACTTATGCTTGCTTGAACGCCTTGCAAACCGCGTGATTTTCTTTTTGCTCGTAATGCTGGCGCGTCTTCACTATTTAACATTGCAACGTACACTCTTATCGTGTATTTAAAACGTTCAAGCACGGCACCTTGCTGTCGCACTCTTCTGTTTTCGGAGGTATGTGCCTGACAGTAATTAGCCCGGCGAAAGAGAAGCTGTCAGAAATTTCTGCGAGTACTTTACAGGCTTCTAGGTTCATTATGCGATCCTAGTACGGGCCGTCCTCTAGGTCGTATTTATGGTAGAAAAAGGATACCAATGTGAGCATTCGCAAGAAAATTAGCAAGAACAAGCTAACGTTTGTGCCATATTACTATAGTTCCGCGATAACATCTGTAGACATTGAAAATGGCAGAGCACAACAAAACGCTTGCTCAAGCTGGGTGATGAAAGGTCCAGCTGTGAACATTTAGCACTGTGCATTATAATAATGGACATGAAATGAGAGCACTCAGCTTGTGAAAGATTGACTTCTCAAGCGCACATTCAAGATGCGTGCTAGTTATAAGGTGACTTTTACACTTGAAGGGAACGCCACGTTTTAGAGGCGTAACAATCGGAAAGCCGTTCCCGGCTGCTTCGCCAGAAGGAAAGGGTGACCCAAACGCCACTGCGTGAAGTTATCAGGAAACGAATATGCTAAGGAAGTAATAATGACACATCATGTCACCTCGACAACACACTAATCATGCGTTCAATACGACACGAATGACACCCTATGCTTTTCAGGGCATCCTTCAGCGTTTCAGGCTTGTCTCTTCTAGTAGTAATATCAGGCTTGTGTTTACTTTGTATGTTATTGTTTTTTCCACTTCATGTCATGATTTATTTCAGTTTTTGTTTACACGGTCTTTTTTGTTTGTTTTTGTATTGTACTAAACAGCGAATTTTTTTATCAAAGTTCTCTGAGTCAGCGAGATCCAGGTTATATATAAGATTGCTGTCGTAGGCTGCTATTACGTGAGTGTTACATGGAAGCCCATAGTTGATTAAATAATGAAATATCACTCGCAGAGTGCCGGTAAGCCCTATAAAAACCGTGTCACCCACTCAGTATATCCCACATAAACACGCACAAAGGCGTTTAATTTAACTTGAAATTATTTTTCAGGAGGGCACAAACTTCCGAATATGCGCCGTCAAACTAACCGTGAAGGCTAATAGAACCCGTTGCTGGGCTAGTTAGTGCATTAATGGTTCAGTTCAAGAAACACTTTAGTGCTTTACTGCTTAAACAATATGGCTCTACATGAAAATAAATTTTCACAAATATAGCCAACAAAACTTGTGTCGTGTTCAGAATTTGTTGCATTTTATACTGTAAAAGAATAAGTTACGAAATCACTCGGTGAATGATCATTGCTATTTCTCGTGCAAGTAAAGTTCACCTTTTGGACTGCTATCTGCTGCATGTGATATATCGAAAATTTCACTTCTGTTGGATAAATTCCCAAAAGCTTCAAATGATTGCTTGATTGGGAAAATAATGTAAAACTGCATGATTAGAGTGAACATAACTTGACTGTATCAGTTAGTTGCGGTTAAGCAGCTGTAAAAAAGGCTGGAAAAGACTCCGTAAAGAAATATCAGGACAAACTGGTCTCAATCAACTATCATTGTCAATGCGAAGAGCGCAAATGTGGAAGATACTCTGTCAGCGCCGTGAAAATGCGCGCATAGCATCTCAACGCTCTGGTTTGCACAAACCTAACTCTTTAGCAAGCCATCATAGTCGGGAAAAATGTGCCAAGCATCTGAACGTGCTCGCTTGTGGGTAAGTTATTCTCATATGCATTCTATTCCTTCTATTGATGTATGCACCTGTTGGATAGTCGCTATAGGATCCCGCCTTGGTACCAGAAGGCTTCGACTTAACGTGTCACACTAAGAACTCGTACCCTAATTTTATTTACATTTATTGCGTACTGTGATGTCGCACACGCATACAGACACACGCACACTCTAAGCCAAAAATGGCCAAAATGGGAGCAACGGCTGTTTTTACTCCTTCAGACCGACTGTTACTCTCCGAAAAGACCAAGCGGAACAAGATGGCCGACTTGTTCGAGAATGGGGGAGCAACTGTATTCATCTTAAATTTGTAAGGGAGCAACGGAAGGAGGAACCGCTGTAAATGCTCTCGTCACGCAACGGTTACTCCCCGGCAGGACACCGCACACAAATATGCATGCCGCCCACATTGATATTCATGAGCCAGATTATTGTTTGTTCTGTGTGCCAAACTTCACCAAACCAAAACAGTGATTTATTTTAGCATCCGTAGATAATAAGATAGCAGCGCTGGCTGAACACAGAAGGCCTGAGAATACAGTACGGCAAATACCTAACACACGCAGCAGCAGAATGGAGAGTTGGCACGTCAAAGCGGACCGAACGCCGAAACACGTGCAAAACAACAATAAAAAAAGCCTAGACACGCCGTTCGTCAGCGAAGTAAGGGCGTCAAAGTCGATCAAGCACCGAAACACGTGCATAAGGAGCCCCCGCCCAGATATATCGGAGAAGAAAAAAAAAAAGCGGACCCAGACGCGCTTCTCATCAGCCATACACTTAGTAGCACGCTTCACCGTGTAGTTTGAGGGCAGAATGACAAATCTGCGCCATCTGCGCCCGCACGACAAGTGTGGCGCTAGTGTAGCAAACGGTGTAAGTTACAAAGTAATTTTTATTCAGTATTTATGTTGACTAGCACTAAATAAAAATTACACTCAACTTTTTATATTTATTTATAAGTTTTAGTGTACCTCAGTTTTTTTTTATAATTGTATTAGGAGAATACACTGAAATTATTGCGCTGACGCCTGTGCTGCCACTGCTCGACGTTTTTTTTTTTTCGGCGCAACTAGGTTCGCGTTCGCACTACTTACTCATTTTCATATGGTCTGTGGTTGGCGAGCACATGGACGTGCGAGCTTGCGAGCTATGTTTTGATCGTGTGTGTGTGTCGCAGATTTGCGTTTCTACTTATTCGTGATGAAGGTTAGTGTATATTTATCTTTATGGAGCGCGAAGTAGTTGTGGATTTTGCTGCTGGGTGGAACAAACACATCGTAAACACGTCTTCAGCTATCTGCAAGCCTGTTCGCTTGTCGGACAAAGGACTGTGCATGCATCAGCGTGCAGGTGAGTGGCATTTCCAGCAACATTTAATGCTCTTACAATACATTGTTGAGTGGTTGCGCTATTGAAAGAGAAATGATTTGCTCTTATTCACCGTATCCATTGCTAGCCGTATCGGACTAAATTACCTCTATTACCAACTGCATACCCTCTTGCTTCCCCTGTCACCACTGCAGTGCCAGTGTACTTTTGCAGTTAAAAGTTCATTTCCGCAACACTACCTCGCTTGAAAAAACATTGGGGCGGGGTTGTAGCTGCATTCATACTGGCACTTTTCTACCATTGGCTTTATGCAATGTTAACGGCTGAGTGTTGGGGCCTTGGGCCGCATTTTTTAGAGATGTAAAGTGTATGTAAATCAGTAAGTGAACAAATCATTGTCGCATCACTTCACTGGCATAGCCAGGCGGTTGCGCACAGAATTTTTTTAGGCCGGGCGTAGGGAGCCCAAATAGACGACCATATTCGCTTGCCCGGCCTATTCAGATAAGCGGACCCCCCCCCCCTCCCCGCACGCCTAAGAAAAAAAAATCTGCCCACATCACTGCGTCACTTGCTTCACCTCTGCGCTGAACGTACTATTTTATAAGCGCACCATCAAGCGAGCAGTTTACATATTGACTGAACAATTGGAGGAGGAATGACCCAAATCTTTCAGATTTCTTTAGTGATGCAAAACCTTAGCAAAACTGAATATTGTAAAAGACAATCATAAATGCTGTATGTTCTCGTTAGCGCTGTCATTATTCTGCATCATGAAATCTTTATGCGCTGTGAAAACTTGGCATGCCGTTGAAGTCACATATCGAGGTTAATACCAATCGACGAAAATTTCGACAACCTCAATAACGCCGTTTGGGATTTGCCGCATGCACATAATTAGGCTGATTCCCACTTGGCTGTTCTTAACCTGACTTCACTGCTACCAAATGAAACAATATTTGATGCATGTCTTTTACTTTTTTTTCAGGAATATGACACAAATTTGGTTATACTGCAGATAAAGATGCTCCCAA